CAAGAGCGTCGGGTCAGCATAGACTCCAGACGAGAGTCCAGATGTCAAAGCCAGGAAGTCAACTCAATATGTAGTGTTGACGGTAGGGTCTGGACCCCAGCCCTCAAGTCAGACACGGCCGAGATCAATTGTCGTCGACGGCCTGGATTGAGTTGAAACTGTATCCTCCTTGGTCCACTGTTCTGACTGGGTACCTGCACACATACAAGTCAATGCACACGACCAAGGGCCTGGGCGAGGTACCTGGACCGACAGTTGACTTTGACCTTTGAATTTCCTGCTGTGCGTGGTCACAGAGCACCCGCAGCGGCCTGAGGCCGAGCAGCGCGTGGTCGCACTGGTCGCTGGGCCTGGGCTTGGGTTACAGCGCCCGGGCCGCTGCTGAACATGGTTTACTGCACTTGCAAGAGTGTGAAGAGGATGTTGTCTGGTTATGTAACGAGCGTGAGGCTGAGGGTGAGCCGAGGGAGAGGAGAGAGAGGGAGAGAGTGAGAGCACACACACACACACTCACTCACTTGACACGACGGACTCGGACTGAGGATCGGACGCAGACACAGTGGCAAGTCACAAAGTCGAAGTCTTGGATTCCGAATGCCGAAACAGCAAGTCACACTGAGTACGAGTACAGCAGCMGRGAACTGGTACGAGACTGGTCCCCGTACCGTACGGGGAGCTGGTATAAGTACCGGTGACACGTACGGTACCAGGGGCATTTCTGCAAAGGCCCCGAGGGCAGAACTGAAAAATGCAGAGTGGCGCCCGAATTGCAGCATGGCGCCAGTTGTCCAAAATCCTACGGTACCAAAGGAGGGGTTTGGAAAAAGGGTGCCAGGCCGAAAACGGGATGCAGCCGAAACAGCAAAAGATAGACCAGGGATCGAGCCCTGGCGAAGTCCGTAACAGGTTAGGGCTTGCTTTCCTCCCACTTCAGCCTCTAGATTGTAGAGGTAAGATCAATTCCACATAAAAAAAAACAAAGAAAAAAAGAAAAAAAGAAAAAAGCAATTCCACATTCAATACTATTCATAGCAATTATTGCTTGTAGAAAATTTATGAGCTTATGCCATTTCCTGAATTCTCCTCAGTTTTCCTGACAATCCTATGCATGTCAGACTGTCAATCGTCCTCCTGTTCCCCCTTCCCCCCCCCCCTTCCCCCTCCCCCAGTTTTTTGCGGGTTCTGGCTTCTTTCCCACTGTCTGTTTGCTATGGTTGTCTTTCTTGCTCTCATTTTATTTTATTTGCTGTTGTCCACTGCAGAGCCTTATCATAAATCTGAGCAGCTATTTCACAGCAGGCGTGTTCTTGGGTGTTGGTCTGCTGCACATGCTTCCGGAAGCCGCTGCTGAGCTGGATAAGGATAATTTACACATTTCCTATGCTATCTGTGCGCTGGGAATTGTGGTCATTTGGTTCCTGGAGCGGCACATGCTGCGTGACTCTCAGAGGTTAATGGCCGTTGCTGCGGGCGCAGAGCATCGAGGAGGAGCAAGTATCTGCTATGTGCATGTGAGTGGCCCCTTCCCCCAATCCCCCAATCCTTCGTACTCCAGTAACCACTGACTGACCAGTCCTCTCGCACAGAAGACTGACGATGGATGACGCTGGGATCGCCAAGTACATATCTGTAGGACCTTAGCGCATTTCCAATGCCCTCCCTAAGCGCATACTCACACTAGAACTTTCGGAAATGCATCTGACTGCAATGACGGCCCGGCGTGGATGAATCTGACTGCAATCACGTCCAGTCAGTGCCAAACTGAGGCCATTGCTGGCCTATCAGCATGGGACTACCTTCTTCCCCCGAATACAACGTACGGTCATTATAGCTGTATTTGGGGTATCTTTCAGTCTAAATATGGCTATAATGACCACCCGTTATATTCGGGGAAAGAAGGTAAGGAAGATTTGGACGATATTATCATTTTCATCATCATCATCACCATCGCCGTCATCAATGCATGATGCTGACGATGATAATCATCATGGTGGTGCAGCCTCCTTGGTTTTATTTCTTCTTCTTCTTCTTCTTCAAACATCACCGGCAATCATCATTGTTACTACTTCGTCATCCCCCTGCCCAACCCTCGTACCCGAGAATGGTTGAAAGCTCGTCTTTCCAAGTGGTGGGGACCACCACAGTGGTTGGTCCTCAAACCTGAGTTCCGCCGGTCACCCTCTGACTGATGGGCAGACAGAGAGAGAGCCCACACGACTGCATAGTTGATGCTTCAGGCTCTTATCTAGCAGGTACTTG